CTCCAGGCTGTGGAGGATGGGACAGGAGATACCATAGACCTTTGGCTCTTCCATGAGTGGTTGTAATTCAGTCCACCTTGCACAGCTGATCCAAAGCATCACAACAAGTGAAGATGTGGGGTCACTGCTACTTGCTGCCAGCAGATTTCCTGTTTTGCTCAGCAAGGCTTCCTTGCTAGAGAAGAAGAGCAAAGGTGACAGTGTTAGACGGAAACGTTGCTGGCAGACTGGGCTGTGTTCTGGGCTGCGGAGAGCTGTCCAGGAAATGTTGTCTTTTGGCTCAAGAGTTAGGTGGCTATTTAAGGCCAAAGAAAGAGGAGTCCTTCATGAGGATGCTCAAGGTGTGAATTTGCTTGTTTTATGTGACACTGCCTGTCACAGCCATAATTTAATTGGGGATGTTGAAGACCTTGTTGTCTTGTCCTGAAGTAACAGGAAAGCTGACTGCTTTTATTGCTTTCTGGCCATTTATGTTTTCATAAGGCAGAAGCTGGGATCAGCTTTAAGATTATTTTCAATTTTGTTGGAAACAAATCTTTCCTGTATGAAAACATTCCCTGCTGTTTTTTGTAGTAGGAAAAACATGTATGCCATTGTAGTAGTGAGAGAGACATGGGATCTTTGCTTTAGCTTGGTGCTTTCGCTGTGTCTCCAGTGTGTGTTGTGTCCTCAGATGCTGAAGCCTTACAGTGGGGACAGACCAGATGTTTTTGGGGCAGTGTCACCCTTTCCAGGTCTGATAGCACTCGAGAGCATGTGTGATGCTTCTGTAAATTCAATGATCCTTTCACCCCACCTTGGTCTTAGTAGAAAACAACTTCCCAGAGGTATAATTTTTCCTGTAAGTTTTTAAGTTTTACAGGAACACCCAAACTGAAAGCAGAGGTCCCTTGCCTGGGGGACACAGCAAGATTAACTCAACTGCCCAGCCTCCCCAGTAAAAACAGGAAAAGAATTAGAGGGTTTTATATTTCTGACCCTGGATCTGTCACTCGCCACAGCAGACAGGAAAGTTGCCCTCATGGTATTTCACACAGCACGTCCTAATTCCCCCTCTAAGCAGAGGGCTTGAGTCATTGCTTTTTAATAAGACTGCTTCCCCACGGGCGGAAGCTGCAGCGATCAATGCGGCTTACTCAGTTCTCGAAAAGGTCATTAAAAGACCATAGATATAAATTGAAAAGAGTGTTTGTTCACATCCCTAATGTTAAAGATGTTCTTCTCTCTCACTTCCTTAAGTAGCATCGTAGGAAACAGTCGAGTGTCGCACCTGCCTGACAGCAGAGTGGAAAGAGCAGGTTACCACTGTCAGTGTGCCATCAGCTTCGAGGCAAGGCGAGAGAGAAAATAAATGGCCAAAAATCACACTTTTATCACCACTTGGAGATGAGCTTGTCTTGCTGACATCTCCAGATACAGTCTGTAATATTGACCTTGGTGACCTATAACTATGTAGGAGAGAATAAATTCTTTTTTTGTTTTGTTTTGTTTTGTTTTCCTTCCTGCATTCCTTCTTCCCTCCCTCACTATGGTACTGGATTACTGCCTGAAGTATTGCACATGTCATCCCACTAGCTGAAATGTGGGTACTGGGAGGGAATGCTAAAACTCTCAGTTGCTGCCAATATGATATATTTAACAGTTCAGGAGGATATAAGAATCTTGGGTTCCAGTTGTTGAGATGTGAAATGCCACATCCAGCTCCATCAGGTTTTTGCCACTAGTTGCATCAGGCCAGGGTGAGCTGAAAGCATAGTGGCTTGAGTTTTGAGTTTCTGGAGTGGCTTTCTGGTGCTCCAGTCCAGGTACATCTGCAGCTCTGACTGCATGATGCTGGAGAACACTTCTGGAGCACACATGCTCCCATTTCTGATCTTCTCTGGGCTTGGCTGGTTTGTTAGAGCTGCCCTGGGTGTGACAGCCTGGAGCTTCTCTGCCATTCTCAGCATGGGGAAGGTTGTGAAGCTCCAGATTGCTCTTGACTGGACTGTCTGAAAGGGTAGTTGGGATGAGGATGGAGAGGGTTGGCCCCGTGGCTGCAGCATGGGCTGGAGAGCTGGCTCCCAGTCTTGCTGTTGCTCTACAGGGACCAAATGCATCCAGGCATTTCTCTTCCCTTTCTCTGTATTTTAACCTAGAGACAAGGATATTATGTTCATAACTCATGGGGTATCATGAGCATAAATAACTTAAAGCTATTTTGTACCCAAACTGTGTAGAAGTCAGGGAAACCAGGCTGTGCAAATACTTAAATGCATGTGTAAGGAGGCAGATATCTTGTTCACCTTCTTTTTTTCAGAGAAGACATCTCCTTTTTTTGTGTGTGTCACTAAACTATAAGTATCATTCACCTATCACAGCATACCATTTCTCCAAGAGCTTTCCATTTTTCAGCAGCAGGCTGCAGTTGGAAATCTCCCTTTGCCAGCGTGTAGCAGGTGACAGGGTCAGACCAAAGCCCACTGCCACAAAGCCAGCAGTCGCTCTTCTCCGATGTCCCCACGGTTCTCTTCCCATATAAAATTTTCATTTACAATCCATACGATTAAATATGCCAGAGTTCTCCCCACCTAATAACTTCCATTTCCAGTTTTCTGTCTCATCCACCCCCATACACATTCATCTCCTGCCATCTAATAATTCATAAACACCCTATTCTCCCCCGTGCTTAATTTAGTACTATGGCTTCTTCCATTATGTTCCGCCAACTTCCCACCCTGTACATAAATAAATGGGAACTTTTCCTGTTTTCCATTTGCTTACATGTGCACACAAACACTCCCACACGCTACCACACGCTCTGCTGTTAGCTCAATGCCTGTTCATCACCTGTGGGTATCAGTGGAAATCACACCAAAAATCAGAATCTGAAAACCACTGGGTTTTGCCCTCACATGTGTGATCGCAGCGCATCAGAAAGCGATGTGTATTTATTTATTTTGTAGCTATTATAGCTGCTCAAATTGTTCATTTGTTAAGTCTTTTCTAAGAATTGAACCTTTTTTTGTGGTTAGCAGATCCCCAGTGACAAAATCCACATTTCTGCAAGTATGTTTATTAATCTTAAACATTTTACAAATGGTTTTGAGAAAGAACTTGAGAAATAACTGCTCTTTAATAATCAAAGCTTGCCTCTACTTTAATTTCATCAGTATATATCAGAAAATTCCTGTCTTAATAAGTGGATTTATCCAGGAGTGAAATCTAGAGGAAACCCTCAGTTTTATACATCAGTGTGTTTCACCACTTAAGTGATTTCCTATATATATATATATTTTTTAAAAACAGTTGTTTTAAATAGGTCCCAAGGGTAGAAATTTGAAATTTTTCACTTTGATCAAATAAACACTCATACTAATATATGGGTAGATGTCTCTCCAATCTGTAGGTGAGTTAAGATAACGTTTGTGCTACCTAAATCCTCCAATTTAGCTAATACAAGCTACAGACTATTAGTGACAGGAATGGGGTGAAGAAGCAATGAGAAAGCCAGTTGTGTTTTCGTTCCACTGAGTTTCACTCCCCATTTCAGGTAACAGAGAATCAAACCCCAGTGCTGTTCACATGCAGTTCATTCAATGACAGTTATTTTGCAGGGGTAGTATCCGTGAGAAACAGCTTTGTTGTAAAATATAATGTGTGATATTGGAGTTGAAGTCATGCTTGTTAATTTAATGAATGTTGTAAGGAGATACTTATTGCAGGAACTTGAAGATTTCAGTAACTACAGCCCATTGATATCTACTTCAATGGCTTTGTTGCTCTGTGTAGTAGATATAACTCTTCATAGTACACACTTCATTAATACATGCTTTTTGACCAAGTTGCTGTGACAAAAAGACGTGTATATTACTGTCAGTAATTGGGGCAATCTGAGCGTGGTAAGAAGAGGACTGGTGTGGGCTGAGAAAGAACTGGGTTGCGTTATGGGCTCTGCAATTAGCCTGATTGATGACTTTGAGCAAATCATTTTGCCTTCACCACTCCGTGGCTTTACAAATCAGTACAATGAGGATAACGGTAATGAGTTTCTTTGTGGAATGTTTTGAGTTCTGATAAGGTAAAAGACATTGTAAAAGAGCTAAACGTTTGTATTAGACTTATATTATTTCTGTATTGCGTATAGAAAAATTATTCCTCATTTATAGGTGCATAGGATTTAGGTAATTATGGATTTGCATAAATATGTAACAGTTTGCTAATTCTTTCTGTGAATATTTTGATCCAGTGCTGTAATGTGGATCCTATTTTTTTCACTATCCCAGAGAGGAAGAAACCTTTTTTTTTTCATGTTTACTGTTTTAATACCCATATGCAAAGTAGATAACTTATTTATCTATCAACTGAAACATCCCCACTCCAATTCTGTCTTCAATCAGTAGGCAAATTCCCACTGGGTCTAGCTGCAGGTGGATTGAGCTCAGGGCTGTTGAGGAAGTACTCAGTGTTTACAGGGTATTTTAAGTTCCTTAAACGAACTATGCCACAGGCTTGCACGTAATGATGTCCCTGATGTGGAGAGATAGGAGCAGAAGTGTCCAAGGCTAAACACGCTGAAGCACAGGGCTGGTTTCTCAAATGCTGTAGTACTATTGACTGTTGGTAATGCCGTTACCGTGTCCCACTGCACGTGGTGAGGACTGTCACGCTGCCAGGGTGTCAGTGCAATGCCACCCCTGCAGTGGATATAGATGTAAGAAGCAACACACCAAACTGCCTGATTTTCATCAGCAAATAATTTAGCTGTCAGTCAAGAGTTGCACCTATTTCAGAGCTGTGCATAAATCAAGCATGGGTGTAGGTAGTGCTGATTGTGCTCACAAGAAAAAGACTCCCAACCAAAAATTAATCCCATCAAAATGAGGTAAGAATATTCTGAGGACCTCATTGAACTAAAACTTGTGTTTTTGGCAACCAATTCCCATTTCAGTGCCTCCTTCTCTGACCTTTGCTACCTCCTTTGTTGTACTGATCACTTAATATTTCCCTTTGTCTTGCAGGGAACTGAGCGATAGGACCACATACACATACCAGGTCACCATTGTTTCCGGGACGGAGGAGAGCGAACCTTCCCCCACGCTTGTGTATATCTCTGGAAGTGGATACTGTGGAGATGGGATTATCCAAACGTAAGTCTAGAGTGAGCAAACAGATAAATCTGGGCACATCTACTCAGCCAGAATCTGAAACTAGAAAGGAATTGATGACCTCTGATGTCTCTTCAGTTGAGGCTGGCTCTCATCTGTAGATAATGAGTCATGTGCTTGATGATTACCAGGATGATGACATTTAATTGGAACTTAGGCCCTGCTATCCTGGCACCAGTAGATACAGACAGAGATACAGATAATGGAGTCCAGACAGCAGGATCGATATGAAAGCACGCTAGATGCTGTTTATGCTGTTTGCTCGTGTATCTCTATCTTTATACATGTATATGACATTTCCTGTATGGAGATGAAGTAAGTGCAGGAAAAATTCACACAGCCTTTGGCGTTCTCCTTCTACCTATGCCATGTCCCTGGCAGCTGGTGGACAGGGTAAAATGCCTGCCACGTGTTGGGCCAGGTTCCTGGTGTGACCTCTTGTTTGACCAAGCACCGGAGCTGGGATGCATTTGGAGGTGATAGATTTGGCCTCCGAGGGAGAGCACTGGGAATTGCACGTTCTCCATCAGCTCCTCCCTCTCACTGCCTGCCAATCTCCAGACCACTGAAAATCTAAACCAATCATTCACCTACGTTAGGGTTCATTCTTTTACTATGTTGGCTTGTAAAGCCACCTGCTTCAAAGCTTCCTGGCATTAGGTAATTTAATTATTTAAACTGTGGAGGTAACAACAAGCAAGTGCTTAATCCAGCCAGTATTATTTGCTTGAAATAATGCTGATCAGCAATCACATAGTGGAACTCTGTCAGATGATATACCTGGCAGCAACTATTTGCAGGATGAGGCCCAACAGGCAGGGAAATCAAAGAGAACCATCAAACGACATATGAATCCAGGGCAGTCTTGGAGACAGAGGTGGAGAAAGACAGATTAATTTTGCTTTCCATAACTTTTCTCCTACTGTTATGTTTGCACATTCCTCAAACATCACTTGTGGCTTTGCAGCAAGCGTCAAACAATAGCTGAGCTGCCTCAGGAGCGAGCAGGAACCAGACTGTGTCCCAGCTTGGTTGGTTGTGGCCCCACTTGCAGCTGTGGCAGCCCCTTTCTCAGCTGGTTCACACTCTTCTCCCCACACGCTGCTGCAACCGTGTGGGCTGGCTCAAGGCAGGACCCTGTCCCTGACACCACTTGCTCCCTGTCGACTGCTCTTCTCTGAGTGCTGTCACCTGGAATAGCCCAGCACCAGGCTTTATGCCTTGTTATTCCCATGCTGGGGTCACAGTCTGGCCCTTCCAGATGTAATATAAAGAGTTTCAGAGATTCCTGTTCTCCTTTTCCCCACCTGCTGAGTTGCAGCTACATCAGCTATGAAGGAAGTTGCTCATATCCTCATCAGAGAACAGCAAGTGGTATCCACATGCACAGGAGAGAAGTGGCCAGGCAAGCTTGTGAACCAGGAATGATGAAAGTCAGGGCTGGAGGAGAAAGGGAGAGGTATTTTAAGGGTCAGTACATGAAGCTGCCGTACTGGATTTCAGGGCTTTGGAGTTCTGCAGAGGGATTGCAGCGATTGTCTGGATGATGCCATTTGCAATCTGACCCCTTCTTGCATGTGTGTGCCCTGTCTACAGAGACTTGGGGGAAGAATGCGATGATATGAATAAGATCAACGGTGATGGCTGCTCCCTATTCTGCCTGCAGGAGTTATCCTTTAATTGCATCGGTAAGTCTGGCTCAGAACCCTTCCACTCATGGTGGGCAACAACTCTATGCAGAGTGCAAGGAGAAAATCAACAGTATTTTCAGCATTTCCAGCTGAAGAGTTGTCATGGAAGAGAGGAAAAAAAGATGGAATTTGTAGGTTTGAAAGGAGAACATATCTTCCCAGCTTCTGGTCATTTTGATGGGAAATTGGTTCTGCTGGCTTTGAAACAGGCTAGGACTTAGGGCTAAGTCAGCCATTGTGGGACTGATCCAAAGCCCATTGAAGTCAGTGGGTGGTTTTCCAGTGGCTTCAATAGCCTTTAGATCTGGCTATGTGAGAAGACATGAACTGATTTTTTTTTTTTTTTTCTGGTAAACAGGAGGAGAAGTGAAAGGGGAAGGGACTCAGACCCAAGCAAGTCCAGCTGAGGTCACACCTCCTTTGAGTTGCAAATCAATATCTGAGGATCAAAGGTCTAGCTAATCCCCTTTTTCAGAGGTGAAAACTACTTAATCAGATTTCATTTGCAAGCCTGGTTTGCTCTGATTAGCAAAACCTGTAAGCACAATGGCCGGAAGATGCTCGAGCTATCTGGATAGCAGGGCTGCAGTTGGGAGCTTTACATATTTATTAAACTCTCTAGGAATGCTGGGGACAGAGAAGGGAAATGGAGACCAATTTACTCTGCCCTTCTGTGGGGTAGCCCTGCGTTGTGGGATTGCATTTCCGAACCTGGGCTCAGCAAGGTCTGGGGAAGGATGAAACACTCAGAGCTTCTGAAACCAGAGTTAATGTTTATAAAGGATTGGCTTTTTATCAAGAGATTTTATGAGATTCCTTATCTGGAGTGACCAAGGAAATACTCTGTCCCATCTAGTGATCCTGTGCCTTCAGCTCAGGACATCAGTCCTAAGCAGATAATAGAATGTTGGCAAGACTGAAGTTTGCTCCTTTTGGCAGACGGACAATTATCTCTTGTGCCTGGAGCAACATCTAAAGGACCTCACAGGCACCATGTTTCCCTTGGCTGGTAAGCTGGGGACTCCTTGTCTTGTCGTAATGGCTCCATTTTCACTTCAGCATTGCACACTGTGGGACTTGAAGCTTGTTTTGGTGATGTACTTATTTACATATTTACATATGTAAATTGCTCTATTGAAATCTGAGAGTATTTATGGTCGAGGCTAATTGTGACTATTGGGGGTCTTGAAGTTAGGTTTGTGTTTCAAGTAACTTGCTGTGTTAGAGCCTCAAGAGCTGAAATAGTCAGAGTATTGTGAAAGTGAGATAAACACTTATGCAAATGTTTTGGGTTCTTGAAAAGTCAGGTTTAATGTGAGGCTGGTTCCAGCAAGGGTTTGGGTTGGAGCTGTGTGATTGCATCTGTACCACCCTGCTGAGCAGCAGGTCTGAGCTCCTTGGTCCAGGTCTGTATTTGACCACATCCCAGCATTGCACTGGGACATGATGCAGGTCCTCCCTTGTGTACACTGGTTCTTAAGGAAATTGGGTTGTGTGGGCTGGGCAGCAGCTGCATTGAGCTCCAAATAAGTCCATGGGGACACCCCAGGAGTAGGAGTGGGGTGTTCCCAGCCTGGGACAACACAGCGATGTACTACCAGGTGAGTGCAGGACCCTGCTTTATGCCCGTGTACAGGTTCATCTCTTGTATCAGCAACAGGGCTGGTTAAGAAGGTGGAAAAAACCTGTCTCACAGCAGTATGATTAGAAAATGAAATAATTAAAACATACCCACAGATTTTTCTACACCATTCCAGAGGAAGTTATTTTTTCAGATTTGCTTGTGTTGAAAAGGAGAAGGGAATTCCAGAGGTAAAAAGTTGGGGGTTTTTTTGTCACAGGCTTTGGAAGTTCATGGTTTTGTAGGGGTCCTGGATTACAAAAGTGAATGAAATAAAATTCAATTGTCTGTGAAATACTGAATATGGGGATTCACTTAGGAGAATCAAGTTAACTGGATCAACAGAAAGGTGCACGGACCCAGACCTTACGGATATTTTGTTGTGTCACTTCACAATAGTGGTGGTGTGACTGTTGTGATGGTGATGGCCTCAGTGTGCACGCAGGGTCTCCGAGGGTAGATCAGCTACTGTTGTTTTGGGGCAAACTCTGCCTTCTTCAAGTCCCTAGGAAAGGTTCAGAGAAGGTAATACCTGTGGAACAAGCCCTGTTAGGTTTTACAGGTGCTGAACCACCAAGAATGAGGGCATTAAAAGACAGAGAGAAACTGCTGGCTAATCTTTCAGACAAATGAACAGTGCTGACTTGTATTCTGTTTTAACATATTTAGCATTAAAATCTCCCGAGAAAACATAAAGATGTTGGGGAAGCAAGTGGCTGTACATATTACATAATAAATAATAATTTTAAAAAAGCAGAAATTCAACATTCTTCATAATCTAATAATATCAGACTGGATCCTTTGCCTTTAGCCCAACAAAAGTCTTCTTTGAGACTGGTAGGGTGCTTTCTTGGAAAATACAGAATGCTTGGATCCCTGTTGGAGGAGCACAGAAAAATAAGTGTAATTTATTTCCATGTTTACAAGGCTAACACATGTTATAATCCTGTAGGACAACAAGTAATTATTTCAGACAGTGTTATTTTTGCAGTGATGTTCTTGTTGTATTATGTAGCTTTTTAGAGCCCCGGGAATCACTCCTCTTCACCAAAGAATTCAGTGAGCCTCAAACACATGTTCAGAGGCTTTGCTGAACTGGGGGCCTCAGGGTTTGATCTTGCAAATGCTTCCTTCCAGGCATGTTTCTGAACTACCACAAGGCATTCTTTAGACTTCAGCAAATCTAACCGCAACAGTGAATGCAGTGCTTGTCACAAATTGTCTGCGGGATTGGGTCCCACATGCCTGAAAATAATCACTAAATGTTTTGTTTGCAAAGACAGGGCTGAAGGGGTGTCACTGGGGGGGTTCCATAGCTGGAGGTTTGATAGCAAAGCCCAAGCGGGCTTCTTCCTTCCAAAACAGAGACCACGCAAGTCATCTCACTTGGTAAAAGAGAAATACAACAGAGCCCACAAACACCATCAAGCTTTAGGTTTAGAGCCATGAATCACAGAATGATTTAGGTTGGAAGGAGTCTCTGGAGGTCTCTGGTCCAAGGAGAGCCAACTTCAAAGTTAGATCCAGCTTCAAAGTTGGAGCATGTTATTCAGGGTCATGTCCAGCTGTGTTCTGGATATCTCCAAGGATAGAGGCAGCCTGTTTGCAGGTGTCCTTCTGCCTCTTTTGCTCCCTTTGCCTTTTAGGATCGTGAGGTTTATGTTTTGGTTTGGTTTTGTTTTTGTTTTTTATTTGGTCCAACTTTCCTTGGAATAAATGGCACAAGGCTCTCCAGACGCTTTGTGCTAGTGCCTGTAATAAAATTAGACTTTTTTTTTTGTAATAAAATTAGACCTTTCTTTCTTTCTTTCTTTCTTTCTTTCTTTCTTTCTTTCTTTCTTTCTTTCTTTCTTTCTTTCTTTCTTTCTTTCTTTCTTTCTTTCTTTCTTTCTTTCTTTCTCTCTCTCTCTCTCCTCGGTTTTGTTTTCCCTCTTCCTTTCCTCTCTAATCAGATAACGGTGGATCAATCTGCTCTGCCACGGGAGGAGGGGCGCGGGGGAAGGAAGGAGGGAGGCAGGGAAGAAAACTGTGTGGTCTTACTGTCAGGCTGTCCTGGCCTTCTCTGAACACAAAGCCGAGTAACAGAAAACAGATAAGATTAATAGCGTTTTCTTCCTGCAACATGCTGAAGAGCGACAGTGAGATTAATTAATTAATTAATGAAAGCATCTGGCAGTGTTCCTTTTTCAAGTTCTGCGGTACCCTCACCCTTCCCCATCCTGAAATTTATCATCTCTACTTTTTTTTTTATTATTATTTTTTATATTTTTTTCCCCTTTACGTAGTGGATTTTGCATATTTTATCTCCTCCGCGCAGAATTTGGTCCCATGGGGAAAGTTTCACTTTGTCTTTTGATTTGTAGGAGACAAGCAAATCAAAGTCATGTCCGCCATGACTGATGCCCCCCTCTCCTACCTCTTGGCTGCTTTTCTTTCACCTTGCTCTTGATTACTCCCGGGATAAGTGATTTTTGCGATTACTGCGGATCTCAGCCAAGTTCAAGCCAAGGTGTCCTGTGTAAAATGGGCCCCAGACATAAGAGTTATGATTTGCAGTTGTGGGAACCCAGAACTTTTTAACTCTTGATCCATTCCCACCAGACCATTGAGAAATGGGGAATCTAACAAGCAGCTGAGCACCTTGTCCTTGGTATGCACTCTCCCACACACCAACATCCAACACATGCTTCTAGATATACGTGTGGACGCTGAAAAAAGAGCTCTGCTTTCATTTGCATTCCTTTTGTCGAGTGTGATGTGCATTATGCATTGATTTAGCTCGCCAGTGCTGAAGAAAGAGAAGGATATAATAAAAAAGATGCAGAGATCAATAAAGAAGAAGGGAGGGGGAGAGAAAGTAATATGAAAAGAGATGAGTAAAGACTGATAGACACATTGAAACACAGCTGGGAAGTAGCTTTGGAACTTCTATCTGCCCTTAAGTTTGCCTGGTGATTTATGGGGTTTTCAGTCACATGTTATTGGTGTTATTATTGCTCCACTTTATCTCCATTGCTTATGAAGGACTCTTCGTTAAAGCCTTTTTACAGCGAAACAGGGCAGGGCTTCTGCTAACTTCCACATGTGAGTGGTCCCACTGAAGAACGTGAACGTTTCAGGTTAGACACACATCTCTCTGGTTTGTTGGATCGGGGCCTCAGGGATGGAAAAATACAAAGAAAAGGCACAGAGTAGAGAAAAAGAGAAAATAAATATATCTAACTCTTGAATTTGCCATCAATTTCTGGCATGCTTGAAGCATTAGTTGCCAATGGTTGTTCAGGGAGAAGTATGATTTTAATTTGACAATGATCCTTAAACACTTTTTCCTTTGCTCCTGCTTGGCCTCAGATGTTTTTTTGGTACCTTACAAATC